AAAATTGTACGTCTAGACAAAAAAAAAATAGGCTTGGATCATCCATATTTCACATCTTTTAATAAGTGACATTTATTTAAACCAAAATTAACATGTTAATTAATATATAATTTCGCTAACACGTCATACTAATATATTTATTTGATTTTAAATACATATTTATTCATTGGTATAAGAAAAACTAAAAATTTTATTTATTTTGTTCAGCATATAATACTCAATTATTATTTTATTATAAATTTTATAGTCATATAATGTCATTATTATTATTTATAAAAGTTATAGAAATAGTATTCTTTATGTAATGAAATTCAAAATATAACTTTGAGTATAAATATTTACAAAATATACACACATGTTTTTTAAAATTCAATTTTCTCATAATAACTCTTTTTTTTAAAAAAAAAAATGATTTAGCAATTGCCAAAAAATAAATTCCTTACATAATCAAGAGATTTTTTCTAATTTTCATGCTAAGGCTTTATAGTTTATTTAACATACTATGCAATAGAAAAATATTTTACAATATATTCATTTTTGAAACATAACAAAAAAAGTGATAAAAACACTATCTCAGTTGACAATAGTATACAAATAAATAACATGTCGAAATTTTAAAGAATAACTAATATAATTTTATTATCTAACCATTAATAAAATCATTTAATGATGTGATCATTATCTTTTAAATGATAAATAATATTAATTTATTTAAAAAATATTAGTTTTATATAATTAAATAAATGTTAAAAAAAACATTACTCGACAGATATTAATTATAATGAATATCAGTAAAATCATTGCATAAATTATTTAAGGAAAAAATCTTTAAGATCATATCTTGATAGTAAATGTAAATAATTAAATATGCAAGCATTTAAAGCATATAGTAAAAAAATTCCAAATAAAGTGTGCATTAAATGTGTGTTGACTTTTCTTGTTACTATTTTTAGTAAATAGGTTGGCTTTTAATATATATAGATATAGATTAGTGGGCCGAGTAAATTGGACCATTGTAGATTGTAATACTAGTGAACCAATAATATTATCTTTTTCATCACGGCCCAAATAACACCACCTCCAATTTTTCCTTTAATTGAAAGAGGTGATAATGATAACGTAGGCTCACCACTTGTCTTATGTAAATTTATTAATTTATCATTTTCATTAACATTTTTGTTGTAATAATGTTACATATGCACACTTTTTATTAGTCAATAAATATTTGTACCAAAAAAATAAAAAAAAAATATAACGTTATGACCATCTTATTTTATTAATAAAAATGTATATTAATGCTATTATATTTTTATTTATGATATTTTTGAAACTACGGACACTTGTTGGAAATTTAGATTATGTAACTGTTAGTGTTAGCTCTCACCAATTGTTAGGATCAACAATTCAAAACCCAGTTCTCCATCAAGCCCAACATACAAGCCCAAATGGGGTTCCACTCTAAAACCAATTGGCAATAGAGGGAGTAGCCCACTAAGCTTATATATTGACTTGGAAACCATTAATTTTCCGATGTGGGATTGGGTTTGCACACCCAGCAAACCTCCCCTCAAACACAAGACCACATTGGGCCTCCCCTTGAACGAAATCCGATCATCTTGTACCGCCGTTATCACCCACGGAACCCGCCGCCGACCACACTCATTCGTCAGGAAGACTTTCGACACAAGGCACATGGATCTACCGGCCCTTCCGGCTCCACGGGAAATATGCCACGTCATCCACATCGCAACTGGGCTACCAACCGTGGCTCTGATACCAATTGTTAGGATCAACAATTCAAAACCCAGTTCTCCATCAAGCCCAACATACAAGCCCAAATGGGGTTCCACTCTAAAACCAATTGGCAATAGAGGGAGTAGCCCACTAAGCTTATATATTGACTTGGAAACCATTAATTTTTCGATGTGGGATTGGGTTTGCACACCCAACAAACTCTTTGTTGTGGTTAAAGCCACCAAACAAAGATGACTTTAACCGAATAATAAAGCACCAAGTCCAATCAACAACAACAATAACCACAAGCAAGAGCAACCAAACAACGATCAAGCAAGCAATAGAATGACACGAGATTTTTAGCGTGGAAAACCCCAAATTGGGTAAAAACCACGGGACCCGTAGGCCGCTTAAATCATCCACTATTCAATCCGATAATGGGTACAACTGAAATCCTCTCTAGTTCATCAAACTAGAGGCAAACAACAATCTTCAAGATCACAATACAAGATCTTGGCAAACCACAAGAAACAATTCAACAAAACACCCCAAAATATTCCCTTCACGTCACTTACGAACAGACAGCCCAAAAGTGCTCAAAATCCAATCTCCACCGTTCAAAACGAAGGTAAGAAGTCTTGAACCTGCTGTCAAAATTTGGTGACGATCCAACGGTGCAATATCCGGGAATCCGCGATTTTCCGAGACTGCGCAGGTAAATGCGAAAATAAGAAAAGGAAGTAGTGTTGTTTGTTTCTTTCTTCTATCTTTTGCTGCTTATCTGCGTGCGCACAAGATAGGTTACAAAACCCTTTTTTTTTTTTATTTTATGAAGAGAAAATGGGCCTTTGACCCTTATTTGGTCCAAACCCACAATTGGGCCGGACTCAACACTAATCACTATTATTGATGTGTACAGGGTGTACATAATAAAATCATTAGTATTATTTCGATGTTACTTGTTTCTCAAAATAAAATTTATATGAGATAGTGAGATGTAACTATAGATAGGGATCTCCTTCATTTCTTTAATATTAAGGGATTGATACTTAAATAAACCTGCTCATTGTTATAATTTAAAGTTTTAAACATATAATTATTCATTAGTTCCAATATTTGTAATGAAAACTTATAAACAAACAGTTTTGCTATGTAATCATCAATTGACTCTGACTCGACTTATGGAGTCGTCTACATTTATTCATTTGTATAGCCCCGTCAGAACTGTGCAATTGTTACTTTAACATTCATGTAATGAAACCTACAGCGCAACATTTGTTGGACCATCCAACAAACTGAACTTCCAGATAAGTTTTATATTAAATAATTATTTAAAGCCATTTTTCCTTTGAATTTACGAAATCCAAACTCCATAACAATATTATGAGAGTTTGGATGTGCTTAAAATGCAAATAAGTGCACGCCAGTAAACATCAAAATAATATCACACGAACCAAAAATAAGCTGCTTTGTCTATTTACATTCACAACAAACAACTGAATCCTGTAATGAATTGCCACCTCAAGTTCTGCTATTACACGCCCTAAAATCAGCTCCACAACAACTTAACAGGGGCTCATCAATAATGACTTAAAAACATTCCGAATAATGAACTCAAAACAAAAAGAAGCATAGTTCTTTTCAGGAATTTATCAGAATGAAACAACAGATTTGATGCGGTCCGAAGATTGCATATGTGAGAAGGCAGTGTCGGACTCTTCAGATTCACCGAAATCAAATGAAGGTGTCATGCCAATAGGTTTCCTGCAAAAATTAATAGTTACGAAACAGAAATAGGTTAATTAACACAAACAGCTTACAAGGTTATTTCCATTACCACCAAAATAATAAGGAAAAGATTAGAAAGGAAGATAAATATCTATCTGTCAAAAATTATGAACGGCGCAAAATATAACAAGTGTTAGCAGGACTGCTGTGCTTCTAGTTGACTAATTTCCAGTTCCTTCTCTATAGCAAATGCCAGTTTATCTCGAATCATGCATCTTTTAATGTTCTATTATCGAAGCAATAGTAGAATGCCGAATGTTTGGTTTTGTCCGACAGTAAGTTCTTAATTTTAGGATGGACCTAACCAGAAGGCACGACGATGATGATAAGTAAAAGTTGCATGAAAATGCTCTAAGGAATCAGCTGAGCACTTTTCCTGAAGTCTACCCGAGTGTCAGCAAAACAACCTTACCTCTTAGATGTAAAGGTCTCTTCAGACAATGCCTTCTCCAGTCTCTCCTCAAACGGCGTTGCGTGCCAGCTGACTTTCTGATCCTGTAGTGTTATAGTATCATAGTAACAAGATTATAATATCCAGAGAGTGAAAAGATTAAAGAAAAAAAAGCAAGATACCTCTTTATACTTGTTAGTAGAATTAGGGATACCATTCCCATCAAACCACTTAGGTGGAACTTGAGGAGTTTCATCCTCATTCCAGTGAGCCGCCACCATACCCAAAATAGGCCTATCCCCAGGTGTTTTCCGAAAATTAACCTTTTCACGAGAGCCACGGCCAAATTTTTCGATATTAGCACCATTAATGTGTGTAACCGGCTTCAGCCAATCAGACAGGCTTGCTTCAATCTTCATCTCTTTTCCAACTGTAATCTGTTTTGCTGCTGATTCAGTCACTGGGGTCAACATCACATCATCTTCTTTCTGGCAGCCAAACATATTTATCTTGTCACTAAAATCAGTACCAGGTGTCTGCACCTCATCGGACAATTTCAAAGGGGTTGGATATGATGATGGTTTTGGTACACTTGTGTTACCGGCCGATCCCAATTGTTTGTAGGGTCGATTCTGGAATTCAGAGGAGCCTTTTGATGAGTATGCGGAACTATCTGAGTCGCACTCAAAACGAACAGGTTTTGCTTTACATTCTGCATCAGGTGTTAGCACTTGTTGTGAAACTGCCGAACTTTCGGAATGGGATCCAATATCGGGCATGTCTAATGATGTAATGACATTCTTCATACCACGTCTTGGATTCCATCCTTCAGTAATGCAGCTAACAAGCAAAATATAGGATTGGGATTAAATTGCACAGTACTTGAAAAGCGGTGAATCTGAAAATATATAATATAACTACGAACCTGACTTGTGAAACATATAAGAGAAGAAATGAACAAAGGGTCAGAAAATTCTTTCTATATCAATTGGCAGAAGCTTGGTCATTCACATAAACACTACAGTAAATCTAAATCCAACCTAAGCAAGTAGCAGTGTGCCTAATCATCTAAACTTCCGATAAGCAAAAGAGAGCACGAGATGCTGTAAATGATATTTTCCTTACAACCAAAGGCTGGAAATTATACCATCAAAAGTCATGAACATCTTCTACAGGACAACACAGAGATTTTAAAATCCATGGGTTTAAGTACCTGCTTGGAGAATCACCCAAAGAATCTGATTTACTTTCCCACTTTTCCAAGGCCTTTCTAATTTCAACAGGAGTTTCAGGTAATGTGCCACAAGCTTTGAGGAGATTGGCCTGCACAATTAGAGCCAATGTCACCTATTTAGTTATACAAGCAGAAACCAGATGACTTCATAATACATATATGGTTATTCATGCAACATTAATGTATTTTTTTACAATAACTATATTATAAAAGGCCTATTTGTTGCCACATTTGTATGCCGACATCAGAATATCCGCAAGATCTATATCTAACAGGATATACAAAAAGAATTTCATTAACCTAGCAGATGAAGAGGGGATAAATCCTAATGCCTGAAGATGAAAAATGACAGACATAACAGCCACTAGCTACACAAATCGAGATAACCGATAAACCAGCCAAAAAAATCTTCAATACTAGAAAACTATATATCAAAGCATGTGATGTTTTTATAAGAAATAAACAAGATACAGACCTCTTCCTTTAGCTCTTTCATATCAAGTTCCCCAGATCCCAAACTCTTCTGACCTTCCTCTCCCTTTCCAATTGGTTCGTCTTTTCAGAAACTCGCAAAAACAACCCATTAACATGAAACTTAACCAATCAAAAAATTCATCACACAACTAACACAATTTCCAACCACATTATAAGAACTCGACTAAAGCCTCACATTATCCTCAGAAAAAAATCACCGGAAACAAATAAGGACTTACCATCACACTGGAATAACGACGAGAGCGCATTCTTACTCCCTGAAACCACTGGCTCCTGCTCAAATCCAAATAAAATAAACCAACAAAATAAAAAGAAAATCAAAATTAAACAAATTTCGCTAAACTTCAAGCTCAACCATCTCAGATCTTACCGTAGGAGGATCGATTGGTTTGAGGATGGAATCTCTGGATCGAAAGCAGCCGAAAAAGCAGCCCATCGCTCGTCGTCTCGCACAAGCTTCCACTACCGAACCTTCGCCTTCTTCTCAACAGAAAAGCATGGCGTTACCATTTTCTATATACACACATTTTGCGAGTGTGTGTGTCTCATTAATTGAGTTGATCCATCGGAATTTCAATGAGATTATTTGGGAGAGGGAAAGTTGGGGTGTCACTGTGCTGATGATGGCTCCACTGCGTTTTGAAATTCGATTTGAGAGGGAAAGTAATTTAATGAGTATCTAAAATATTTTCTTTCATTTCGCGGGTCCCACCAAAACATCTTTTTCTAATTCTCCTCTATTCACCTTTTTTCTTTTCTTTCATTTTTTATGAGTAAATAAATTATTAAATTTAGAATCGTTAAATTAAATAAGTCTATTGTGAGGTGTTAAGAATTTAAAATATCTTGTGGTTCTACTGGACTCGATTCCGGATTAATCGGTTCTCTTGTGGATCCGGAAACCAAAAGGTCCCTGTACCAAAAAAAAAATTAAAATACAAGTTTGGCTCAACTTGAAAATGTAATTATTTATATAATAAAATTAGTGGTTAAAGTTAAAGTTCGAGTTCAATTCGTTAAGACTCCAATTCAACTCCACCAAAACAATTATTCACACAATAAACAATTATTCACACAATAACATGCTAATGTGTACACACGTGTAGATATTTTGAAAAATGTTCCTGCATGAGAGGCATAGACAAGAAATGGTCATAGTTGTTGACACAAATCCAATTTTCTAACGATAATCAACAACACAGTTTTAATATAACAGTAATACTTTAGTATTTTATTCTTCTTACTAATACAACACTCGAGTATTACACGGTGTGTACTAATTTTTTTCTTAAAATATAAAATTAATGAAAAAAATAATTAAAAATCTAAATACCTTTTATAAAAATATATATATTATTATATAGTTAGTATGACATTTTTTATTTGTGCGACTTACATGTGTTATACTGCAATCATTTTTTTAACTTACAACAAATAACTATATTAAACACAGTGTTTTTCAACCCGGACCGGCCCAGCGGGTCGACCCGGGACCCGGTCGACCCGGAGCCAGAACCGGTCCGGGTGTGCTAATTAGACCGGATAACAAATGAACCGGTCAAACCCGGTCAAAACCTGGTCAACCCGGCCTTGACCCGGGCGACCCGGGGCATTGACCCGGGCGACCCGGGGCATTGACCCGGCCGGGGCATTGACCCGGCCGGGTCAACCCGGTTGACCCGGTCCCTACATATATTTTAAATTTATTTATTTATTTTTTTTAAAAATAAAATTATGTATATATATTTATATGGTAAATATTTATTATTAAAATAATATTATTATCACTTTAATATACAAATTTTACATACAAAATATTTAATTTTGTTATTTTATGTATATTTATATGACAAAATACTATATATATATAATTTTAAAAATTTTAAAATTAATTATCCGGTTCAGCAATTGACCCGGTGACCCAGCGGTTGAACCGGTGACCCGGTGACCCGGAGACCTTCCCGGGTCAATCACCGGGCCGGGTTTAAAAACTATGATTAAACATAAATATATCAATTAAGAAATAATTTTATTTTTCTAATAAATTTTAATAAATATTATTATTTTTTATTATTATAAAAATAAATATAATTTATTTATTTCATATATACAATATGGATGTCAAATCGAAGATCATCAAAAGATGATCAATTTGATATATTAGATATGTAAATCCAATAAGAAATACAAAAGTTATCAACTTTTAAAATACATTTATAATTCAATATTTTATCGAAAGAAACAAATCAAAATTCAAGGATATATTAGTCACTTAGTGTCTCACTACGTAGAATTACAAAGAATTAAAGGGTTATATTAGTAAAAGTGATATTAAAATACCTAAGTTAGCTAAATAATATTTATGGAATACCCGAACCTAGATTATTAATTATTAATATATCAATATTATTTATCCAAACCTAATTACGAAGCATGATTCTTCGCCAAGTAGGATTATGAAGCACTAAAAGCAGCCACGTACGCTCAGTGCATTTTGGAATTATATATAGGGAGGATATAACATTTAATTTCATCATCATACTTTTCTCATATAATATATATTATACATATTGAAATTTGTAGCTTTTAAGTTTGGTTGTACTTTCCTGGTTCAAACCTTGTGATCATCCTCCCTATATATAATTTCAGAATGCGCTGAGCCTACGTGGCTGCTTCTGGTGCTTCGGAATCCTATTTGGCGAAGAATCATGCTTCGTAATTAGGTTTGGATAAATAATATTGATATATTAATAATTAATAATCTAGGTTCGGGTATTCCATAAATATTATTTAGCTAACTTAGGTATTTTAATATCATTTTTACTAATATAACCCTTTAATTCTTTGTAATTTTACATAGTGAGGCACTAAGTGACTAATATATCTCTGAATTTTGATTTGTTTCCTTCAATAAGCTATTGAATTATAAATGTATTTTAAAAGTTGATAACTTTTGTATTTCTTATCGGTTTTACATATATAATATGTCAAATTAATCATCTTTTGATGATCTTCGATTTGACATCCATATTGTATATATAAAATAAATAAATTATATTTATGTTTATAATAATAATAAAATTGTTCATTAAAATTAATTAAAATATAAGTAATTAGAAAAATAAAAGTATTTATTAAATAATAATAATATTTATTAAAATAATATTAAAATATAATTAATTATAATAATATTTATTAAAATTAATTAAAATATAAGTAATTATAATAATAATAATAATAATAAATAATAATATTTATTAAAATTCATTAGAAAAATAAAAGTATTTCTCAATTGATATATTTATATTTAATGTAGTTATATGTTGTAAGTTAATTAATTATCATAATATAACACCGTTAGTTGCACAAATAAAAAGTGTCATACTAAATATATAATAATATATATTTATAAAAGGTATTTAAATTTTCAACTATTTTTTCTCATTAATTTTAGATTTTAAGAAAATTAGCAAGCACCCGTGTAATACACGGGTGTTGTACTAGTTGATTATTAATGCTCTTAGCCTTGGCCTCAGATAATCTATGTTGAATTGATAACATTCAAAATAAAAGGCATAATACATAAATATTTAATATATCAGTAAAATATGAAAAAAAAAAAAATATTTATTATTAACAAGGGAATTAAAGAACTTCTCAAATGACTAGCACTAGTAAACAAAAATATCACTGCTCTCATTAATTGGTGCATCAAATATTTTCTATCACCCACCGCAGCCGCCACCACCGCAGCCGCCACCGCCGCATCCGCCGCCGCCGCAACCACCGCCGGCGCCGTGATTATGGCCGTGGCCTCCACCGCAAGTGGCGGAAAAATTTGCTCCCGACCACAAAAACACCGTGTCACTGCCGCCACTTCGTGCCGTCCGTTGGCTTTTCTGGACGTTGGATTTCGGTACGTATTTGCCGCAGAGAACGCAAATAAGACACATGACAACGCTGAAACATACAACAAAGATCAGCACTGCTATTGCTCCCGATATTGCCATAATGATTAACCAAAACTAAAAAAAAAAAAACTTTGTGTGAGACATGCTTTTATTTACACATATATATATATATAGTCATCAATTAATCTCCTACGTGGAATAGGCAACCCTTTTATGTTTATTATTAGGAGTGTTATTGTATTTTGGATTGAGTTTAGAGATGTGAATTTTAGTAGGAGTACAACTGGATTGATACATATAACCTTTTATAATGAAAAGTAATGACTGAAATATATATTTCGTATAGTTTATGTGCAAGTCTAAAGATTATTACTGTATATTTATTTATAAAGCTATATACTCATTAACTCACATATTTTATAATTATCAAATATTATTTTATCAATTATAGATCACATCAAAATTAATCAACTTTTTTTTTTATATCACATTATATTATATCTGCTAGCAGCGTCCCATCCGATCTCTTTCATTTATAAATAACGAATGCCACCTTAATTTATTTTACACGTATTGATTCTAGGCGGCCAAACAGGTAGAATATTCTTTTTAATACAATAATAATTTATTTATAATAAAAAATATCTTACTTTTTATTTATAATTATTCAGAAAATAATATTTAATTAGACTCTGTAACAACATCTATTGTCTTTTTTTAGCATAAAAATTGCAAAAGTGCCACATCATGTCAGCAACATCAACCTAAATTACGTTCAATTTTATATGGATCAATATTTTCATATTTTTTAT